TCTAAAGGTCTGCGATAATGTCTCTGAGCAGATGGGTTAGGAAAGTATCCACACAAGAGCTAATGCTGCATATTAGGTATTAAACCAGTTGTAAAATTATGCCCATTTGTGAAATAATACAACCATCGTAAAGGACTGTACACAATTGCAAACTGATTCAGATCTTTGACATGTAAACAACATTAAATCCTGTAGGCATTCAGTAATGTCCAATATATTCACCATCAACACACAGACTGTAGCCTTCAAGTGGATCCCATTCCATCTTCTCAGGATATCTGCCAGACAATGCATGTAGCTCACCAACAGCAGCCAGATCTAAGAATGATTGATTAAAATATGCAGAGAGAGAAATATTACGCATTTTGTGATAAATGTTGTTCAACACAAACAGTTTGTTCCTTACAGTACACAACACCTCAGCGCACAGAACTGATTGCTTCCCCTGACCTGGCAGTCAATGTGAACAATAAAGCAGGCATTTTGCCTATGATTAACCCACAAACCAAGAGGCTGCTTGGAAACCTCTTGGTTTCTGCACAGAGTTGCTGCTCTTTATGGGACAAAAGGGTGTAGAGGAAGTTAGGGTCGCAGAGCAGCCCTGATTTCATCAAATGATGGAACAGACTCAAGAGTCTGAATCACCTCCACCTGTTCCTATCCCCTTATGTTTTGTTTTTGTGTGCTAAATGTCAGGCAACTTTAAACATCAGCATGGAGAATGGGTTTTAGAAAATCCCTCACTGACATAGGAAATCGGAGCAGGAGTAGGCAGTTACAGCCCTGAAACTTGCTCTGCCATTCGGTAAGATCATGGCTGCCCTGTTTTTTTTTGAATAACACATTTCCACCTACTCCTGGTAATCTTTGTTATCTTTGCCTAACAAGAATCAATCCACCAACTCCTTAAAAATAATCAATGATCTTCAGAGGCAAAATCTCTCAACTCTGAAAGAAAGAAATCCCCTTCTATCCCTAAAGCCGAAAGCAGCACCCTACTGGCCCCCATTTATCCAGAACTTGAATCAACTGGTTAAACATAATTTCCCTTTCTCAAAACTGTGATGATTCATCCCAGTTACCCTGGGTTTTTCTAAGCATGCATCTATAATCTCTTTAATGATTAATTCTAACACCTTTCCCTCAACGGATGTTAGGCTACCTCATCTATATTTTGCTGTTTCCTGCCTTGAAGAGAGGGTTTATGTTTGCTACTTTCCAGTCTGATGGAATCTTTCCTAAAACTAGGAAATTTTGAAAAATTAATGAATTAGTTAAGGAGGTTATGCTTCAGTTATACAGGGCATTGGTGTGACTGTGTCTGCAATATTGTGTACAGTACTATTCCCTGTACTTACAGAAGGATGTTAATGACAAGGAAGCAGTTCTGAGAAGGTTTATTAGACTGCAATGAGAGGATTGCCCCACAATAAATCATTACATTTTATGAGCTTTGCTGATTACTTGCTGTACCTGCAGACTAACTTTCTGTGATTCTATGTGCATGAGGACACCCAGATCCCTCTATATCTCAGAACTTTGCAACCTCTCACCATTTAGATAACATACTTTTTTATTCTTTCTGCCAAAATGGACAAATTTACACTTTTCTACGTGGTATTCCATTTGCCAGATCTTTGCCCACTCTGAACCTAAATATATCCCTTTGCAGGCCCTTTATATCCTCTTCACAACTCACTGTCCTACTTATCTTGGTGTCATCAGCAAATTAAGCTCCTATACCTTCAATCTCTTCATCCATATCATTCCTATAAATTGTAAACAGGCCCAGCACCAGCCCTTATGGCACACAACTTGTAACATCCTGCCAACCAGAAAAAGACCCACTTATTTCTACTCTCTGCTTCCTGTTAGCCAGCCAATCTAACCAGTTAAATATGTTACACCCTACACCATCAGCTTTTGTTTTCCTCAATAATGTTTGACCTAATGTGGTACCTTATCAAATGCCTTCTGGAAATCTGAATGCAATACATCCACTGGTTCCCCTTTATCCACAGTACAAGTTACTTCCTCAAAGAATTCCAGTAAATTAGTCAAACACAATATCCCATTGTCAACACCATATGGCTCTGTCTGATTACCTCAAACTTATCCAAGTGCCCTGTTATAACGTCTTTAACAATAACTTCTTATATTTTCCCTGTGACAAATGTTAAACAAATTGGCCTGTAGTTTTCAGCTGTCTGCCTCCCTCCCTTTTTGAATAAAGAAGTTACATTAGCTATTTTCCAATCTGAAGAAACCTTCCCCGATTTTAATGAGTTTTGGAAAGTTAAAACCAATGCATCAACTATTTCACTGGCTACTTTTGAGATGTTAGGATAAAATCCATCAGGACCCAACAATCCCAACAATTACTCAGTGCTACTGTAATTTTTTTGAGTTCCTCCCTCCTTTTTGATTCCTGATCCTGTTCTATTTCCAGGATGCTACTTATATCCACTCTAGTGAAGATTGACACAACATACCTGATCAATTCATCTATGATCTCTATTCCCCAGACTCTCTGTCTATAGGACCAACACTTACTTCGTTAACTCTGTTCTTTTTTTTAATATCTGAAGAAACATTTCCTTTCTGTTTTTATATTTTTAGCTAACTTTCTCTGAAGTCTAATTTTTCCTTCCTTATTAATCTTTCACTAATTTATTGCTGATTTTTATATTCTGTCCAATCTTCTGACCTGCCACCTATCTTTGCAGAATGATAGCATCAAACTCAGAGAAAAGATGTATCTTTGACATTTTAAGTTAGGCACAAGTTGTTTTTATTTGTTGAAATTTACTTATTCTGTACTTTCTGGAATATCCCCTTGAAAGTTGCCAAGTATCTCTATCCCTTAACTTAAATTTCCAGTTCATTTTCTCTAGGGCTGCTTTCATAATTGCTGTTGTTTAAATTCAAAATAGTCTTGGACCCACATTTCTCTCCCTTAATCTGCATGTAAAACTCAATCATATTATGGTCTCTGCTACCCACTGGCTCTTGTGTTATGAAATCAGTAATTAATCCTACCTCATTGGCCAAAACCAAGTCTAATATAGTCTACTGTCTGGTTAGTGCCATAACATGCGTGTCTAAGAAATATTCAATGAATTCCTCCTTTAGGCTACTTTTTTCCCATCTGTATATAAATTAGAATCTCCCATGATACTTGCTGTACCTTTTTGACAACTCCAATTATTTATTCCTTGATACTGTATCCTACCACAAAGTTACTGTTAGGTGCCTGTACACAACTCCCACAAGTGACCTCTTGCCTTTATCGTTCCTCATCTCTGCCCAGACTGTTTCTATATCCAGGTTTCCTGAATTAAGGCCATTCCTCTTTTGTGCTGATTTCCTCTTTAATTAACAGAACCACTCCTCCTCCCTTCCCCAGCTTCCTGTCCTTCCTAAATGTCTCACACCCCTCATTATTCAGGTCCCAATCTCAGTCATCCTACAGACATGTCTGAGGAATGACCAAACGGTTGTACTTATTTATCACAATTTGTACTCCTAGTTTATCTGTTTTGTTTTGAATGCCACATTCATTCACATACAGTGCATTATGTTTTGTCCTTTTATTAACTACAGGTAAACCACAATGAACTGTTGATATGTGGCTCTCTAATTGCCTTATAACATATTCCTAGGCACCCGCGCACACAGACCAAAAAATTTAAAAAATTGCTGTTATGGAGGGTGGGGAAAAGGGCAGCAGTTCACAGGCTCCAATCCACAGGATTTGCTGAGATAATCCTTTTGTTTGCCTGGATTTTCTATTCTTTACTGTCTTTTCTCCAGGTTCTTTACATTTCCTCACAAGGAGACACAGACAATTGTTCACGAACTGCAAACTGTCTTTGAGTCTGACTGTAGAGCCTCAGCAATGTGCTGACTTTTAACTGTCCTGTGGACAATTGGAATGGGATACGGCATGATCTAGCCAGGTCTGAGAATTCACTTCGTGCACTGAATCTGTGGCCTATCCCCTGTGAGATGCTTCTCTGCTAACAGTTTGAGGCACCAGTTCTGGTTGTTTCTAGTCACAGACAGGCTTCTGTCTACACAGTGTGAATTCCTCATGAGCATTGATGATGGAAATGGGCAGAAGCAAGGTGACGTTGGGGTGCTCTAAAGGGAAGGAGAGGGCAGAGAGAGACAACAGGGAGGAGAAATCATTGTACAGAGAATGGTTTCACGGGGTCAGGTAGCAATGGTGCAGAAAATGAGCAAAGGCAGACCCAAATTGCCAAGTCCTGACTATGAAGAGTGAATGGCTGTGTCCAATTCTAATAGTGTTTGATGCAACCCAGAGAGAAACTGTTCCTTTTTAATGGAAAACTGCATAATTCCTGATGTTCCTGGTCTTTTAGAAGGGACGTTTTGTGATGCATTTACAAGAGTCTAGTGTCTGTTGTCAGATAATCTGGGGAAGTATTTTTAAAGCAGGAGTCCAGCGTTAGCTTGAGACTGAAACGGTAAAGGAATTTGGCTGGAGTGTGGCTGACTGGCAGGCCAGTGATATCTGCATTGCAGTTTTGTGACCGAGGAATGAACCACTATTTCTTAAGTGAACATAATGCAGCACTTCAGTGTCTAGGAGCTGGGTAGGCCAAATATACTCTTGTGTGAAATCAGATTCTGTCCTGCAACTCATAACTGATGGAGATTGTGGGCAAAATGCCAATATTTGATAGATTTACAGGTGACGCAATCTAACCTCAAGCATAGACTGCAGAACTTCTGAACCTTCAGTTGCCAGGCTGATATTGGCAACTTTGTTCATCCACCTCCTGCGCAGCAAGTGGTTTCTTGTAGAATAGTGTGAGTTGTAATAAATGTAGTTTTTAAAGAAAGAGCTGGCAAGGCACTGCAGTTCTGTCAATAACTAAGAGAAGTTTGGAGCAGGACACTGTGAGAATTATTTTAACAATTCTGTTCTCGATTAATTTTTATCTTCATCTTTTTGATTATGTTTTCTTTTGAAGGAAACAGCGATTCAAGAAGTGAGGAATTAAGAAAAAGGTATGAAGAACTGGAATCTCAGCTAAAAGCCAAAGAAGACGAGAATAATGAATTGATAAAAGATTTGGAGAAGAAGAATGCAGTGATACTAGTCCTGGAAAACACAATGAAAGAGCGGGAGAAGAAATATTTAGAGGAGCTAAAGTTGAAGAGCCATAAACTCAGCATGCTGTCCAGCGAGCTGGAGCAGAGGGCAAGCACCATTGCATACCTCACTTCTCAGCTGCATGCAACCAAAAAAAAGCTGATGTCTTCAGCACCGGGAGCCTCTGACAGTCAAACTGCTGCAGGTTCTGCAGCTACCAACTATAAGCCATCGCCACCCAAAGACAAGATGCCTGAAACCCCAAGGCGTAGAATGAAAAAGAGTCTTTCAACTCCACTAAACACTGAGTTTGCAGAAGTTTATAGACTTGGAACTGATGGAAGAAAGCTAATGTTGCGATCGGAACCTTTAGATGCTATGCCAGACCCTACGCCGTTCCTGCAGGCACGGGAATCTGCTGAAGCACACTTGTTGAAGGAGAGGCCTTTACTAATTCCACCCATTCCTTCCGAGCGTGGCTCTGTGGAGCAGCAGAGCCCAGCCAGAGACAAGCAGCACAAACCACATCACATCGGCGTGGCTCACCGAATCCCACATATCACCACATCACAGAGCCAGCCTGAAGTGGAAACACTGGCAGTCGACCAGGTTAATGATGGGAAAGTGGTTAGGAAGCATTCGGGGACAGACAGAACTGTGTAAAAGGACTGCTTTACCTCGGCTTAGTTGCTTTTATATGCTGTGCACAAAATATAGACAAAATTTCACTTGCAGCAATTTTTTATTTTGTTTTTAATGACAGAGAAAATATGAATGCCAAGCTCTGACACTTTATGGGAAAACAAACCCGCACAGACTCATTCGGAATTTCACTTTTTTTTTGTCAAGTTGTGAGTAGTTAAACAGTGGCCAAAATATGTAATCTTCTGCTTGCTTCTACCAATAATCTAATTGTACTTGTCGTTTGAGAAAAGCAAGGCCACAATTCAGTAGCCGTTGCACTAAGCAGCTATAATCACTCAAAGAGAGAACATGGTATACACAACGCTAACATACAACTTGCAGCTAAAACTGAAACTATTTGCTCAAATATAACGTTAATGGTTGAAGGTATGAGTAGCTGTGTCTCTAATATATACCGTCTGTCATATTGTGTGTTGATGATCTCCTGACAAAGCCTGAACTGGCAGCATGTAAATCACTGTCTCCATGTATGTACTGTGTGTCATGACCATAAGAGGAACAAATCTTTACAGGTTTCTTCAGGTCATAACTGCATTTATACTAAGTTTGATTTTGTAATCCAATTAAATGATTATTGATGATCTGATTCATTGGTTTCTGAAAATCATTCCCTTTAACACAGGAAGTTATACACATGGGATTTCAGAGAGGCAATGAGATGCAGGAGAGCATGGTGATTAGCTCATATTTACTATTTACAGAAACTGATACAGGCTTACTAATTGGAGGAACAAATTTAAAATGGGCTAGTTATACCAAACTGGGGAGGTCGTGGGATTGGAACTGGGGAGTGTGGTAGGCTGCAGAAAGCTAGATTACTACAAATCAGGGCTTAAAAGTATGACGTAACATGTGATGGAAGGATAGGAAGAGAAACCCTGTGTAGAATTAGAGTGGAGAAACAGAACTTGGGTGAAAACAGACATGCTCAGCCAGTCAAACAGCATCAATTTTAATAAAAGACCAAGATGAAAGCTTGGGCTGAAATTTCCTGGCCCCCATGTGGGTAGCCAGGAAGATTCTGGGAATGAAACAAAGAACTTCAGATGCTGCAGATCTGAAACAAAAACAGAAATTGCTGGAGAAACGCAGCAGCTCTGGCAGCATTCTTGGGAAGAAAGTAGAGTTAACATTTTGAGTCTTGTGACTCTTCACCAGAATATTAACTCTGCTTTCTTCCCACAGATGCTGCCACAGCTGCTGAATCATTCTGGGAAATTCCCAACATTCCTACTGCCAGGAGATTTTCTCATGGACAGACTGAACCATGAATCCGATAGTGGGTATCAATTTAAACAAAGTCCCCTTTTTCTTGATTCTTTCATGGGATGTAGACATTTCTGGCAAGGTCAGGGTATTGCAGAAAATAAATGCTTGGTTTAGCATATTGGCATGGATATTGGCTGACTAACAGGAAGCAGAGAGTAGCAATAAATGGGTCTTTTACTGGTTGGCAGGATGTAATGAGTGGTCTGTCACATGGTTCAGTGCTGGGACTTCAACTGCTTACAATTCATAAATGATTTGGATGAAAGGATGAAAGGTATGATGCCAAATTTGCTGACAACACAAAGTTAGGAAAATGAGTTGTGAAGATCACATGCCAACATTGATAGGTTAAATTGATCGGTATAGATCTGGCAAAGGAGCATAATATGGGAAAATGTGAAAATGTCTATTTTGGTAGGAAGAATAAGAAGCATATTATCTAAATGATGAGAGATTACACAGCTCTGAGTTTCAGAGGAATCTGCCCTTCTGCATGAATCGTATGAGATAGCATACAGATACAGAAAGTAATTAGTTAAACTGACAATGTATTGCTTATTGAGAGTGTAATTGAGTACAGAAGTACAAGCATGATGCTTCAATTATATTCAAGCATTGGAGAGGTTGCATTTGGAATATTGTGTCCAGTATTGGTCTCTGTATTTACGGAAAGGTATAATTGTGTTGGAAGCAGTCTAGCAAAAGTTTATTAGACTAATAGCTGGAATGGGAGGGTTGTATTATGAGGAAAGTTTGGACCGGCTCAGCTTGTATCTGTTGGAATTTCAAAGAGCAGGAGGATACTTGATTGAAACCTGAAGATCCTGAGGGGTCTTGACGGCAGATGTGGAGAGGATGATTCCTCTCAGGGAGGAATCCAGAAATAGGGGTCTCCCAATTAAAAAAGGGTGAGGCAAAATTATTCCTCTGAAACAAAGAGCAGGAGTCTTTTGTGTCTGCTCCACCATTCATAATGATCATGGCTGATCATCCAACTCAGCACCCTGTTCCCAATTTCTCCCTATACCCTATGCTACCTTTAGTCCTAAGTACTGTAAGAGCTAACAGCTTTCTCAAAAAAATTCAATTTCTTGACCTTAACAGTTTCCTGTGGGCATATGATTCTACATGCTCACCACTCTGGGTGAAGAAATTTCTCCTCTGTCCTAAATGGTTATCAAGGATAGGTGGGAAAATGAATTTGAGATTACAATCTTATTGATTGGCAGTGCAGTCTTGAGGGACTGAAGGGCCTGATCCTGCTTAAATTCACATGTTTGTATTTCCCTAATTGCAATAGATTGTTGAGTTGTTTGCCAGCCCAGTTCAGAGGGCAGTTCAGATTCTACCACTTTGTTGTACTTCTGGAGTTGTATGTAGGTCAGACCAGGTAATGACAGCAGATTTCCTTCTCTAAAGGATATTAATCAGATGGCATTTTTTTAAGCATCAACAATACTTTTGTGGTCGCTGTTGCTGTGACTTACCTTATGTTCCAGATTTTAAGGTAAGAACATAGATTTGTGGACCAAATTTAGAGGGAATGTGAGTAATTTTTCTTTACACCCAGAAGTTTTGGGAATGAGCTCACTGCCTGTAAGGGTGGTAGAGGAAGAAACCCTCATAACATTTTAGAAGTATTTAGCTGTGCAGTTGATACCAACACATACGGGCCTATTGGCCAAGTGCTGGAAAATGGGATTAGAATCATAGGCGGTTATTTTTGACTGGCACGGAAATGATTGACTAAAAGGCCTTTTCCTGTGCTGTAGATCTTTCTGATTCTGTTTATTCACTGAATTTTAATTCCACCAGCTGTTATGGTGGGATATGAGCCCATAACCCCTGAGCAGTGTTTTAGGAGTCAGCGGCCATGTCTAGGTTTTCTGACATTTTGACAGATCCCCCAGCCCCCTCCTGAGAAGGCCATTAATGCAGGTAGTTCTGTTGGGGTAAGGGGGTGTACAGAAATACAGTACCAAAGGTTCCATTCTTACAAACAGGGTTGGTGGGTGTGATTGACTGCCTCTGCAGCTCCAATGTTGCAGCTGAAGTTGCTTCCCCTCTGATCTATAGGCCCCATCCTCTCAACTACGTTTTTACCTCTCTGCAGTACCTCCATATTGTAGGTGCTCTCCTACCTACATTGGCAGCACCAGCTGCTGGTGCCCTGGATCAGCAGGAACCAAACTGCCTGCTGTACTTCATTATTAAAGTAATTGGAAAAATAACTCCAGTATTTGGCTTTGGACAAGGCTTGCCTCAGGATCCCCATTTGTAAACCCCCACCCCCATCCAGGGTTGAGTCTCGTTTGCTGATGCGACCAGACCTCCTGAGTAATTGTAACTTATGGTTTTCCTTCCAGATTTTCAGCATTTGTGGTATTTTTGATGGGCAATAAAATTGATCTTTAGTCGATCTAAACTCTGATCAGTTCCCTTTCATCCATCATCTCTCGACTTACTGACCTACACTGGCCTGTCTGGCAACACCATTTTAAAATTCTCATTCTTGTTTTCAAGTCCCTTCATGGGCAGGCGATAACCTAGTGGTGTTATTATTAGACTATTAACCCAGAGACCCAGGTAATGTTCTAGGGACCTGGGTTCGAATCCTGCCGTGCAGATGACAGAATTTGAATTGAACAATAATCTGGAAATAACAGTCTAATGAGGACCATGCAACCATTGCCAAATGTTGGGAAAAATCCATCTGACTTACTAATGCCCTTTACGGAAGGAAATCAGCCATCCTTACCTGATCTGGGCTACATGTAACTCCAGAACCACAGCAATGTGGTTGATTCTTAATTACCCTCCTGGCAGTTAGGGATGGGTAATAAACGCTGGTCGAACCAGTGCTGTCCACATTCTATGATTGAATTAAACTCACCCGCTCCATAGCTCTGATTTTGGCTTCCACAATCCAGGTAACAAGCCAGCTGACTTGTGCACAGCAAGCTTCCATAAGCAGCAATATGATCACAATCAGACTGTTTTTGTTGCTTGAGGTATAAATATTATCCGGGACACTGGGGAGCACTCTCCTACTCTTTGAAACAGCCCTGGGATCTTTTACATTCACCTGAGAGGGCAAATGGATCCTCTGTTTAACATTTAACCCAAAAGACAGCAGTTCTTGGAGTTGATTAGGTGTAGGTTTTGTGTGCAAATCCTGAAGGTGTGGTGTGAAACCACACAATTCTGATCAGAATTCCACCTCACTGTGCTACAGGTGATGGGAAGCAGTGACTGCTGCAGACTTGGCCATGTGCCATGGGTTTGGAGTCACATGTAGGTAGCACTAGGTTAGGATGGCAGATTTTTTTCCCTGAAGGACAAGTGAAACACATGGGTTTTTACCACAATTGAAGATACCTTCGTGCATCATTACTACTGACTCTATATTCCAGATTTATCAACTGAATTTAAATTCAACCAAATGTTGTGTGATTTGAGGCTGTATCCCCAAAGCATTAGTCTGACCCATTTCAGGAACATTGCCACAACACCACTGACTTGTTTGTACAGGATATTAATAAAGAATTTAATTGAAGATGAACTGAAGATTGTCATTGAGTAATGGATAACACACTGCTCCTGAACTGAAAGGCAGCCTGACGTGGTAAGGAATGAAGGGATCGAGCTCACAGCTGTTTGGCAGGCATTCTGTAAACTTACCTGGTATTCTTGTTCCACTGCCTAAAGTACATGATGAAGCAGAGGGCAAATGTGACCCCTTCCACTTGGGCTGTTGAGGTATTGCTGCTTTAATCTCTGAAGGGAAGAGGGCTGTTTCTGTATTGAATGAACATCCTCCTGTAAAGACCAGACAGCAGCCAATCAGAGTATAAAGAGTGATTGAGCAGATCCCAGGAGATGTCTTAGCTGTGAGAAAGTTATTGAAAGCCTGGGACATTTGGGCACCAAGGTCTGTGTGAGACCACTGGCCTTCTGTTTCCTCGGATTCAGTCTGCCCTTGAATACAGCCGATAAGTGGTAGATAAAAGTTGGATAAAAGCTGGGTCAAGAGGTTTCACAGTAACTTAAATATTTTCTCAGAGATTCATCAGGCTGATACTACATGGTGCCCCGAATGTGAGATTTTTCACCCTCTTGGTAAGTTACTGCTTGATACGGGAAAGGTTTGTCATGTACGTTGTGTTACTGACAGATACACATATATCAATCAGCTGGGTATAAAACAGAAATCCAAGAGATTGGTGTAGGTGCAATGACGTGAGTGGTGGACAGACAACACATCTGTCGTTTCTTCCAGAAGTAAAAACAGAACACAGGAGTTTTGTTTTAATATAAAAATACAAACCAGGCTCCATGAACAGGACACAAGGCATGTCCAATAATTATTGAATAGTAATTAGTCTTAGCCTGGACCAATAAAATTTTTACCACACACTCTGTTTGTTGAAAAGTTGATTACTTTTTAGAATATTTTGTATATTACATTATTAAAGTAGACATCAAATTCCTCATTGTATTAAAATTACAAAATATACCACTTCGGAATTACATTAAAATAGAAATAACAAAAAGGAGGACAGCTCCTTGTTGCTGAAAGGTAAAAGCCTGATGTCCTGCTGAGAACCAGGGTCTTCAGTCGGAGTTCAGGGTCAGACAGACACCCTGCAGCACCCAGTGTGAGATGTGTTTGGTGGTGAAGAGATCAGCTTCAAAGACCAAACCAACACCCATCGCATTTCGACGCATCGATGTCGTGTACACTGGAGTTCGTAAAGTGTTCTGTGTTAAAGTCAGAAACATAAGAAGCACTCAGTCACTTCTGGAAATGACAACAATTGGTAAGACAAAGGATTATTACCATTTTAGAAACCTTTTTAAATAAGCTTTAAAAAAAAATGTGACACACAACAATTAGCCTAAGAGGACTTCTCCAAATAAAAGATTCCAGGAGTAGAGAGAAGTCCTACTCTGATGGGAACATAGCAGCAATTCAGGTCACCACCTGAAACTCTGGTCTCCACATCTTTTCGCCTCCGTGAGACACTCCTCCAAACCTATCTCACTAGAACTATTTCATAACCTGTACGTTTTGGTGTTTGATCTGAAATGTTGTCTGATAATATTTCATGGAGCACCTTGGAATGTTTTACTACATTAACGGAACTACAGAAATTCAAGTTGTTGTTAGCCATCTGAGCATTAAAACTCCAGGTAGATGGACTGATGACGTTGCTCCCCTGGATAGTCCTTACCAATCCTGCTCCCCCACACTGGATTATCCTCAGCCACACCCTCCCCCTAACTGTCCTCACATTCCTGGCTATGAAGAGTGTTGCCTCTATCAACTAATGTGTCCCAAACCCAAAGCTGAAATTGAATGGGAAAAGGCACACCCCAGTACATCAGCCACTGGTTCCCTCCAACTATGTTCCTAGACCATATACAAGGCCACACGAAACACTTCAGATTGTAGCTTCTGATAAAAGCTTGTGACTGCAGCCAGAGACTGAGAGGGACTAAAGGTTTTCCCTCTCACTGCCAGGTAAGATTCTCAGGGCTCCTTACTGGGGCCTTAGCTTCTTACAATATTTATCAATGACCCCAACCCAAATGAAGAAATAGAGTGAGATCTCTGCCATATGGTCTGCAGAGGAGGTCAGAATGTTAAAATGGGGCATTGACATATCCAATTCAATGATTGGCAGTGTTAGAGATCGTTTTTCATCCTTCCTCCCTCACGTTGTTGCCATTCATTTCAAACTTCTCTCAAACACTGGAACATTACAAATGTCAGTAGTTTGTGATTACTGAGTATTCTTTGAGTGTCTGCACTTGCTAAACATTTCCTCCTTGTCCATTTCCTGATTGGACTCGGTTTGTTACACACATTCAGTCAGCTGTGGCGGACCTGCAGTTTGAGCCGATGAGCCTCAATGGGGATGACCTTCAGAACAGGGAGTTCAGTCACCAGCTCCTTTGGTTTGCTCCGAATCAAACAACCTTCTTCAATATCCCAAGATGCTCCTTCCATATATAAACCAGTAATAAAACAGCCTGCAAAACAGCAACAAAGGCAATTTTTAAAAAAACCATGAAACTTCAACCCATCTTCAATGAATGAATTGTTATTGCCTGGGGATCATCCAGGAGGTTGGTTAAGCTGGTCCTGAACCTGCTCCTGTTCACTGTTTCTCTAACTTGACAATGCATGTGGGAAGATGGTGAGTAAACTTGCAAATAATATTAAAATCTGAGCAAAATGCTGGAGGAGACAATGGTAAACAGTATTTAACCTCTCTATTTTTATTGTCATAACTTTGTGTTAATTGAACCATTTAGTACAAGCCAAAGAACCCATCTCAATTTATACAGATAGATAAACAGGAGGCTGGAAGAACAGGACAGAAGAAGGGTAATATCTGAAACATTGTCTGCTTCTTTCCTCCAGATGCTGCCTGGCTTGCTGGGTTATTCCAGTCTCCCATTTGTCTACCTGGATTCCAGCATCTGCAGTTTTTTTTTGTCTCTAACCACTTTTATACAGGTTGCTGGTTAAACTGTATTTGGAACACTGGGCTCATTTTTGCACCACTAACATAATAGGTGTTAAGTGGCTTAGGAAAGTTTGCAGATGACACAAAACTAGGTGGGAAGCCAAGCGGTGAAAATGATACAATGAGCCTGCAGAGGGCTAAGTGTGTGGGCAAAAACTTGTAAGATGGAATATGATTTGGGAAAATGAGAAGTTCTGCACTTTGGCAGGTAGAATGAATGAATGAATGATTTATTGTCACATATATCTTGAAGATACAATGAAAAATGTTTTATCGTCACAATAGTGCCATTTTGAGTTATAATAAGGATAACAAGAGATTACTTGAATAAGAGTTCATCTTCTGTTCAAATTGGGGTCTCAAGCACAGCTTCAGTGCTTCTGCAAGGTCTCTGCAAAATGTTCCAGTCCTCAAGGAATTTCACTCTGGGAACAGCAACAATGCTGCCAATGTCCTAGGAGACCCTGGCTCTGTTACTGTGTGACACCACCAAGAGTCCCAGCTGAGGGCCTACTGCCACCAGGAGTCCCGGTCCACACCGCCAATGCTGCAGCCACCATCCTGCCAGCACCACGCTGCCCTCAAAGATAAGGAAGGAAGGAAGAAGCAACAAGATGAAAAGTACGTGGAGAAAATGATGCCGCTGGCCTGCAGTGGATGGGCTCAGTGAGCCCGAACACTACCTACCATGCTGGCGCCATCTTGCATTTGAATAGAGAAGGGAAATATTATTTAAGTGGAGAGAGAATGCAGAAATGTACAGAAAAGAGGGAATTGGAAGTTCTTGTCTGATAATCACAGAAAGCTAGCATCCAAGTTCAGGGATAATAGGAAAGGCAAATGGAGTATTGGCCTTTAGAACTAGAATTAGCCTTTACTGTCACATATACTCAATGAGTATAGTGAAAAGTTTATATATCGCCACTTACATCATCAACTTAGGTACAAAGGTACCTAGTTTCAGTTTCTTCAGTTACAAAATTTTAGACAATAGAGAAATAAAATGCCCAGCATTGCAGAGATAAACGTTCAGAACAACAGACCACACTGACACCTAGCTTCCAGTCTGCACCAGGCCCTGGCTCCAGACTCCTCCGGGATGCACCTTGAGGACCATGAGGCTCAGAGATCGCTTTGGACTGCCAGGCTGGGAGGTCACCGCGCCAGGCCGGGAGGTCCCCGCGCCAGGCCGGAAGGTCAGCGCGCCAGGCCGGAAGGTCTGCTGCCAGACCTGCTGAGCTTTTCCAGCAACTTTGTTTTTGTTCCTGATTTACAGCATCCGCAGTTCTTTTGGTTTTTATAAACGCAGGGAGGTTTCATTAAAACAATACAAAGCACTAGTCAGACAACAGCTGGAATACTGTGAACAATTATAGGCTCCTCATTTGGGGAAAGATTTATTGGCAGCCCAGAAAAGGTTCACTAGGCTGATACCAGGAATGGAGGGACTGTGTTATGAGATAGGTTTATAGACTGGGCCTGTACTCATTGGAATTTAGAAAGGTGACCTAATTGAAACATACAAGATTCTTCGAGGACTCGACAAGGTAGATGCAGAGAGCTTGTTTTCCCTTGTGAGAGAATCTAGAACCAGAAAGCATCGTCTCAAAGTATGGGATCACACATTTCAGACAGAGATTTCAGACAGGGTGGCACGGTGGCTCAGCAGTTAGCTCTACTGCTTCACAGGTCCAGGAACAGGGATTCTCGGGCAACTATCTGTGTGGATTTTGCGCACTTTCCCTGTGTCTGCGTGGGTTTCCTCCGGATGCTCCAGTTTCCTCCCACAGACCAAAGATGTGCAGGTTAGGTGGATCGGCCATGCTAAATTGCCGCAGTGTCTAGGGTGAGAAATGCAGGGATAGGGTTGGGGGGTGGGTCTGGGTGGAATGCTCTTTGGAGATTCAGTGTAGACTCGATGGGTCGAATGGCCTCCCTCCACACTGTAGGGATTCTATGGATAGATGAGGAAAGTGGTGAATTTGTGGAATTCTTTACCACAGGAGACTATTGAGGCTGGGTTGTTTACTATATTCAAGGCTGAGTTAGGTTTTTAATCAGTAAGGAAATCAAGGGTCTTGGGAAAAGGGTCGGAAAGTGGAGTTGAGGATTATCAGATCAGCCATGATCTCATTGAATGGTGGCGCAGACTCAATGGGCTGAATGGCTTACGTGTGCTCCAATGTCCTATGGTTTTATGGAAAAGTTCAGTGGAAAGTCAGAAGAGTAAGTTCTGCTTTAAAGAACCTCAGCAGCTTAAAGAGCTGGGTCTGTGACAGACAACAGACTATTGTGGTCAACTATTCCTATATAACAGCAAACAATTAAAGGATATTAACTGTCTTAAATAGGAGACCAACAGTCTATTTAATTCAACCCCCATTCAAAACAACTGAGCATTCAGAGAACACAGTAAAGTATTTTAAAAATGCATGTTTAATATTTCTGTAGGCTACAATGGCACACTGCCACTAGATCTCTGATTTATTTAAAAAATCCTCAAATTAGCTCATTGAGGATTATCAAAGTCTCTTTTCTGGATTAATAAACATGTGAAACACTTAATAATCTGCAGACACACAGTAATGCAAACACATCATTCACGGCTTTCTTAAAATGAATCTCAAAGAGTAAGATTAAACAAAGAACTGCAGCTTGTGGAGATCTAAAGCAAAAGCAGAAATTGCTGGAGAAACTCAGCAGGTCTGGCAGCATCTGTGGAGGGAAACAGAGTTAACGTTTCAAGTCAGTGACTCTTCATCAGAACTCAAAGAGTAACAAGTGATTCCCACCTTGTCCAGGTCTCTCCATGACATCGTCACTGGTTGGGTACTTGGTGACCTGAGTGTAAAGTGTGGACCGATCGAGAGGCCAGCCATTCTTCCGGCAAGTTGCCTGAACCAGAGCAGTCAGGTATGATTCGGGGATGTGTAACCCAGACAACCACATTACATCAGGTTCACCTTCATCAACCTGTCAATTATTTGGTGAGAAAATGTCAGGCAAGTTAATAATGCTAAGTAACTAGTTCATACATCAGCAAAAAAAGTTCACAGACCAGAAGCAGTACTGAACATCTGCTAGCTAGTTTTCCACCTTCCATCAACTTGAGCTTATCCAAAATATCTGCTACCCATGTCCTAACTCACACCACGTCCCATTTACCATAATCCCCATGCACATTGACACTAGCTCCCAACACAGCAACACCTCCATTTTAAAATCATGATCTTGCCTTCTTCCTATTTCAAGAACCTCCTCTACCCCATTACCTTCTGTGTTCCCCCAACTCCAGACTCTTGAGCACTTGGCAATCTGACCATAGGTAGAGCTAGCCTCCTAGCTGTGAGTTCTGGTTGGACCATCCCCACTGGTAGAGTACCAACTCTGCTGCAATATCCAATGCCACTATTCCTGAGGCAGCTTGATTGGGATTTCCTAGGCCTCAGACACAAAACTGAGGCAGGAGGATGGATCTGTGTAATTTACTCTTTACCATCTAAGCCTAAGGCCTGGGTCCTGAGCCTACACCCAGGTTGGAGCCTTTTGCAAATTCTGTGCAGCATGTCCAGAAATTGAGTTGCAACTGAGTCTGAGGAGCCTTTGGGCTCAATACTTTCCTGATCTTTGTTCCCAATGTCTGGATTGAAAAATCAGCACTGGCTTCAATGAATTATCCCAGGTGTAAGTTTCCTGGCATGAAATTTAGTTTGAGTGATGTGAATGTTTTCACATTTGTTTCAGTTACTGGAAATATTTTGATTCATTAAGAAATCTCTTGCTATGATACAGTTTGACACTAACCCATGATAGGTACTGGTCAAACCGTCTCTTGAAGTGAATCATCCAGTTTCCAAGTGATTTGAGGGTGTCAGGAGCCAGTCTTCTCCAGATAGCAGGAATATGACCATTAAAGAGCGCGCGGGCCACTTCATCCAGCTCACTGCTCATTCCCACTTCACCAGCCAAAGCCTGAAACATGCAAACAGTCCCACAGTTCAAAATATACCGTATAAATTATACAAACATAAAAATAATATAAATCACAAATAATCAAATCTCAACAACTGGTCATCAATTATTTGTTCACGTTCCTGTCAGGCTGAAAGTAATGAAGCTAAACTCTGTCTTTATTGGACATGTGGGTTATAGGTTTCTGGGCTGTAATCCTTACTGCAGCCAGGGAACATCTCAAAGTCTGCTGCTAAAATTCTGCATCACGATCTCCTCTCACCCACATTCATGGAACAGGAACATCAGACACTTTGAGAAGCATCTTACTTTGGAAGTTTGACAGTGAGATGTAATATTAGTATAACTTCCAAATTTTTTTTTACTCTTAGGGTCATAGCCAATTAAATAAAATTGTAGAATCCCTACAGTATGGAAGCAGCCACTCGGCCCATTCAGTCCACACCGACCCTCCGAAGAGCGTCCCACCCAGACCCACCCCTACTACTCTATCCTTGTAACACTGCATTTCCCACGGCTAATCCACCTAACCTGCACATCTTTGGAGTGTGAGAGGAAATCTGAGCACCTGGAGGAGTAGATGGCACTTTCCTTTTAAAAGTAGTTTGATGTTGGTTTTACATGATTTTTCCTCCAATAATAAGTAGGACAAGCACCATTAGAACTCAACACATTACACTAACAGCCCCTTGTCTTCTGATTTGCAGCCTCTAGATATGCAGTACAAATTGGAACAGACAGAATTTACACATTGGTGCAAGGCAGAATTCTAAATAATTCACAAACAGCTGAAAACCATTGTTTTAATGTCTCCTTGGAGTACAGACAGTTCTCCTCCCACTATTTCCTACAGTCTCTAAAATACTCGTAGCTTTAATCATATCAACACTCACATCACATTCCCTTAGTGGAGGCATTATCCCATTCCACTTAAATGGAATAACGCCTCTGTAAAAGTAGTTGGAACAGAATTCAGAATTGAATGGGCTAAACATGCAATAACACGAGTATCCAGCCTTGTGTGACTCAGACAAAAATATAAAGAAAAAATCCGGCATAGATGTTTAAAATAATGAAATTAAATTTAAATATACAATTTAAATGAGATACAGTTAAAACTGAAACTAGTTTAACTGACCAGCAGTGAGTCAGTAATTAGAAAAGTTAATCCCAGCCCTAAAAGAATCTGTATTCACAAAGCATTCATTAAGATTTGAATGCTGGACCTAAAGAGTGGGTGGAGGGAGCAGAACCAAGACCAACTTTTAAAAGGAAATAAGTAAATATCTGAAACAAAAATTTCAACGGATATGGAGATGGGCTGAAAGTAAAACTAACTGAATGATATTTGTCAGAGCTAGTATACCCTCACCTGACTGAATAGCTTCTTTTATGCAGTCAGATTCTGTGATTCTATACCCAGTGATCAGAGAGAGTGTGAGGATACTTTTAAAAAGAGAAAGCTCTACAGTCAAATGCTCTCATCTGTGCTTGCTAGAAAACTCATGGTTAGAAGAAAATATCAAATCAGAATGTTCCGTTGTTGTCAGTGGCAAATTATACATTTCAATTGATGTTACTGGATTCTCAGAGAGCAAGGATATAACAACTTACTCTCTGCAGTTCCATCAGGGACCGTGACATTCGGTCAAGCAGCAAGTTGAAACGCTCTAGTTCTTGAAGCAGTACTACGGTTGTTGGTGTGATTTGCAAAGCAAGTTTTTTGTAGATAGTGTCAAGATCAAACAGGACTGGAAGCTTGCTTTGAATATCCTTAGCAACATGTCCAATATACTCATCACGACCCATCCCAGTGCCAGATTCCCCTAGAACAAACACATTGAATTATTTCACCACACAACAGAAGATCATTCAATACATACAAGAGCAAAATACGCTGGAGATTTGAAACAAATGCAGACATTGCTGGAGAAACTCAGCAGGTCTGGAGCATTTCTCAACGACCTCTCAGCAATCAGTGTTTCCTTTGTCAATACCAGTCCCTGTCTGGCAGGACCAGGTTATAATGTTTCTCTACATTTCTCCTACAGAGAGGTGTATGCTTAAATGCTAGCACAGAGCTAGTTAAAACCATAACAGAATCAGGTACTTACAATATGCCATCATAGTAAAATGTTATAAGGTCTTTCACTGAACTACATAGGTCAATGATTCCAGGACAGATGACCAAGGGATTGATGGAACAGGGATGGTTGAACAATAAGAATTGGGATTACCTTTAGTGGCCATGTGGAAAGAGTGCAGAGATCAGACAGGCTATAGAACAAGTGATCAAAAAGAAGAAAGATGTAGAGCACAGTAACGGTAGAGACACATAAGAGTTATGTTTGAACTTACCAACATGTTACCCAATAGGGACGGGATGTTACTCCTTGGATAGACAGTGATGGTTTGACACCCCTTAGACAGAAGGGGGTCTTATCCCATGAGGGGAGCAAGGGGGCAGGCGAGGGTTGAAACCCCTAGGGAGAGATTTAAACATGACATTGGCTTAGCGAAAATAGGGAGCCAGCGGAGCTATGACCCCCAATGCAGTAGTCAAGCAAAGTAAGATACAGGTGGCTCAATGTGCAGAATTGGGTGAAACATTTTATGATCCAACATTTAGAACATGGACTGCAGATCCTGCAACAGTCTAAACACCATCACAATCTCCAAACAAGTTTAAAGATGTGAGGACGTTGGCCCAGACCAGGTTAAGACACTACCTATCAAGAACACTAACTACTGCAGAGTATTTGTTTATTAACATACAGAAATGATAAAGGTTTATACAAAACTACTAATATAGCAGTTAAAATAACAAGAAAACAAAATAACTCAACAGTTAATGCAACTACTTGACGTATTTTACAAATTCAATAATATGTTGTTATTAAGACCAAATGAATATTGTGTTGGATGCAGATCTGTAGTGCGTATTAAATTGAGATTTACATATAGACAACACGCAAAGACAAATTCTAGCGATTCCAACTGAAAGGTACCTGTCTGTGGTTGCAGATCTATCAGATGCCCCCACATGCTTCGAGCTGCGTGTGTATAGTAACCAATCTCAGCATTGGGGTGAAGGCCAAATACTTCGGGAGTGTTGGCAAGTGGTAGAGATTCAATTTCCTCTGAAAATAAACAATAATATACTGGAATATTGTAAAGTAATTTTTAAAAGTTTAGGAAATATCTGATTAAAGCCTGTGCTCCTTAGTCACCAATGTCCACCCCACCACGCCGCGCACACCGTCCACCCCACCACGCCGCGC